GGTGTTTTGTTGTTTTTTCATCTTTATTTTTAACCTCTACAGGTTTGGAGGAAGACAACATTTATACCGCCTAGAGGGGTTTTACAATTGTAAATAATGACGATTACACTTACTTATAAATAAAAGAGTAAAATTGTGATTTATAATTTCTCAGTAAGCGTGTAAATTATATACTGACACTTCAAGAGATACACTTTATTATCACCGCACAGCTACGAACAAACTAATTCTTGGTAGAGTAAGGAATTTTTTGTTTCTTTATTCTTATGATTACATAAGAGAAGATTCGCTGGTAAAGATGCAAATATGAATACTATCAATTCAGTCATATCAATGCAACGAGTGAAACAGTAGCAAGTTCTCTTTATTTCCCTACTAGACCATTAAAAAAAAAAAAACAGTATCCCCAAAAAGAATGTTTACTATGTGGGTTAACAGTAAGACTAACAAAATAATTGATATTTTCAAACTTTCAACCCGTAATTCCTTACAAAACATTAAGGTTTATTAATGATAAATCTTGTCAATTATTACAGTAATTATAATACACATTTTGGAAAGTTTCTATTTATCGATTTTAGGTAAACTATAAAGTATATCAGAACGTAACACGTTGTTTAGAAATACTTAATGTTATGGTGTAATATGTTTTACCTTACTTACTTACTTAAAATTTGTCAGAATGTACAGAGCATGTATTGTGAAACTCAACATTTTCTGAAACAGTAACAGTTGTGCTGTGACAAAGGGCATAATAATTTGTACCTCTTGAAGTTCTTACATTATATTGTAATTCTTAGCGCGGGAATACAGGTGATGATGGTGATGCTTGATAAACAAAGTGGCAGAAACAGGATGGAAACTCCATAGACAACTATCCGTGGCGACAGACCATCAGTAAAAGTCGCGTCCAGCTTACCCCATAGCTGTATCAGTCTTCAGCTGCTATCGGTAATTTGAAAATGATGTATAAAGTATCATCTCCAGAGTCTACTTAAGACTATAACCCCTTCCATGAAGTAAATCATTCCATAATTTACTAACACTACAAACTGTTGACTTATAGTTTTGCCATTGTAATATATCATTCCCAATATTATTAGTTTAAATGAAATATTATAAATATATGTGTTAAGATAAAAGTAGATTGTCTTCTTGGCAACTTGAAAAACGCTAAGGCAGCATATCAGGGTAATCGCCATAGTGAACATTCATTTGCTACTATCTTACGCATCCCATTATAAATATCTATGTGATTGTTATTCTAATGAGCCTATAAATATTTGAACGCCGTTTCATGGTACCTGCTCAAGGGAAAATCTGTAACAAGTGGCGTTGTTAGAACTGGTAATGTAGCATATCGAGGAACGTAGCTGACCTAAAAGACGTGTAGCCAGTTGAAGCAATGGCAGCTTCTTAATGACTTTTTATTGGTCACTTTTTTTAGAAAGTTGTATGAAGGCTTATAAATTACATACATGAAAGAATGGTCAATAAATTACTTAAATTTGCAGATGATATTAAGGTCTTGGGGGTTGCTAGCTGTAAAGAGGATGCTGCTGATTTACAAAAGGATTTAGATGGTTTAGTGAGTTGGACAAATAAATGGCAGATGGGTTTTAATTATAATAAATGCAAGATAATGCATGTAGGTTATCATAATTTGAATTATAAGTATAATTTCTATGGTAAAAACCTTAACAGTGTCATGAAAGAAAGGGATCTTGGTGTAATGGTTGATCAGTATCTAAAGCCATCCAAACAGTGTGCTGTTGCTAGTGGTGGGGCAAATGAATTTTAGGTTGTATCTACAGAAATATTGAATACAAGTCTAAAGAGTTTATACTTTCATTGTACAGGTCACTGGTTAGGTCATTGAATTGCTGGAAAAGGGTTCAGAGAAGGGCTACTAGAACGGTGCCTGGGATGGAGGGGTTGTCATACGAGGAGAAGTTGAAATCTCTCAAATAGTTTTCTCTTGAAAAAAAGAAGAGTTAGGGGGATCTTATTGAGGTGTTGCAGATTTTAAATGGAATTGATAGTGTTGATGCATCATATTTTTTTTTCATAATTAACAGTGAGAATAGTAGGTCTAGGGGATACAAATATAAATTTTGGCAGGGTAGGAGTCATCTTCAGCTAAGACAGTTTTCTTTTTCAAACAGGATGGTTGGCTTCTGGAATGGGTTGTCTTCGGATGTTGTAGGGGCAGTAAATTTAAGTGAGTTTAAGAGAAAGCTTGATAAGTATATGAATGATAAAGGCTGGCTTTAAGACTTTTTAAAATTTATGTATTGATACTTTGAGTTTCGTTTAGATGATGGAACAGCTGAGACAGACCAATAGGTCCCACGTTGCCCCAAATGTTATGTTTTCTTGTGTATTTTATTCTCAATTGTTTGAAGCTCGAGATTCAACTAAAGCAGTTTGACCGAACAAAACGTGGTAGATTGTATATGTCATTTTTATTTTAGCGGATAGCCTGTGAATGTTTAATTCCATATACATTCTTGTGGCAGCAGGAAACTAGTAAATTAGTAATCAACATATATTCACCTACTATTTGGAATGGTATTATTAAATTAAAAGATACTCTTTTAGGAAATTGTTTCAATGCGCATTTTAGTTGTATTTGTGAACGTACTCAGCAATATTTTTTATTGTTGTTTAAGAATTTCCTATAAAGCTACACAAGAGTTATCTGCACATAGCCGCCCATAATGTTGAACTTGTTGACTAGAGGGAAGGCAGCTAGTCAACAGCGTACGCTGAAAGCTTTCGGGCTACTATTTCCCGAAGGAATACTAGGGTTTAGCCCTCACTCTTGTAGCATACCTACGGTCCCAGAGTTCTGAGAGCGGTTTTGCGGCAATTGGATTCACAGTCCGAGCATACTAACCACTAAGTGACGCCCGGCATTACTCTGCAAAAAAAAAATAAAAAATATTTGTTATTTTCTTATAAATATCCAAAAATTATTTTCCTGTACACTGTAACATTAACTTTATATATTTGTATTACTCTATTTGCGCCCCCCCCCCCAGTGGCACAGTGGTATGTCTGCGGACGTACAACTCTAGAAACCGAGTTTACATACCCATTGTGGGCAGAGCACAGATAGCCCATTGTGTAGCTTTGTGTTTAACTACAAACAAACATACTTTATTTGCAGTGTTCATTTTGCTGTTGAACAAAAGTTATTGCCCACCCCCACACACACAGTGGCTCAGAAGTAATCTTGAGGACTTATAACGTAACTCAGGGTTCGGTCCCTCAAGTTGGTATAGAACATATAGCCTACTGTACACTTTTGCGCTTGGAACTAAATTAATAAAATTAATTAATTTAATTTTTTTTGTTTAAAAAGATATGTCGCTTCTTTTACTTAGTTAAAAATACATTTTGTCCGATTTCTTTATTTGCAGAATTAAGTCATTGTTTTTTTATATGGTTTAGTAAGACAGGGATTTTAAGGTGGAAACTTTTAATAGTTGTGCAAACAATTAAATGTAACTGTTTCTTTTTTTTCTAAAAAAACATAAATGTTTAGTTAGAATGTTTCATATGTAGGCTTCCTTCAGAAATTTTAAGTAAATGTGTGTTTTAGAACAATATTTAAAACAACCAGCATTATTCATTGCCTCAAGTCCAAAACCATAAAAAAATTCCAATTTATAATTAACTGTCGTTGTAATTGCAAAATAATGGTAAGCTGTGGTCATAATCGACTTTGACTACATGTAAAGTTGTATTATCAGTGCTTTATCAGTATATCCCTCTCCTACCCTCTTTATGAACTCGTTATGTATGTTTTTGTTTGTTGAGAATTGTGCGCAAAGTTACACAAAGACTATCAGCGCCAGCCTGCGGAAAGTTTATCAAAACGTGTACCAGAAGACTGATTTAAATGTGGCAAATATATATACATAAAGGCCAAATTTTGCAAAGTGTTTTTTTTTTAACAAGGATGATCTTATTCAAATCAAGACAAAAATATTGTTTATATAATTGCAGTTAATTACATTTTTATGAAATTTCATTTCCATTCAACATTCATAACATACAATAACTTAGAACATTGTCACTGACCGTGTGTGAAGTTATTTGACCTTTTTTTTTTCTTTGTACTTAAGGTCTCTAAACATAAAAATAAAATTAGAATAATTAAATAAAGTAAAATATATTCACGGATATCTTGATAGATATCTCTTTCAATTAGCTGACAATGCATCTGTTTTGAAATAATACAGAAAAATCAAGTGATAATTCCTTAAAAGGTGTAAAAAGTAATAAATATTGTAAAATTTCTAAAAACAAAAACGAGCAATTGTATGATATTATAACACATATCACATTTTCTAGAAAACAAAATCAATACAAAATCACCATCAAAATAAAATATTTAAGCCTAAAAAAATTACAAAACCGTACTTTAGTATGGCAGCATCTTGACATATTTACAGGATATTTAGTCGAAAATTAGGAGGTAAAATTATTTTATAACATATTTATTAGTAATCATACCAGAAAGCACAAATAAAATACACTTGTGAAATAAAACATTTGCGGCTTTCGTTGGGTAAATGTATATTAGCCCTTGTTTAAGTAATGTCAGTTTAGAGATTCTAAGACAAGTTTTTTTCCACAAAGAAAAATAATTCTGAAGAGGCATTAGTAATTCCTGTTTAACTTTTCAGTAATCACCGCCTCATCGTGCAACTACATGTAAATTCGTTGAAAGGAAAACGTTCTATATACTTAGTAGGACACTACAAAATACGTCGAAGATACAGTTCTATGGACAAATCAGGTTTAATAAAAACCAAATTTTCTCGATGCAACAGGGAAGTTTTTGTTTATATTTTAAACAGCATTCTCTAAAAATATCACTCAGCGTTTTACTATTTCTGACCTAACATCTGTGTATGAATAAAATATTTGACTCAAAACTAGTATTTTCTTCTTCAGTTATGCTTTCTTTTCTGTATTCTTTACAGGGTAGAAATATTTGTAACTATTGAAATATATTTCATCTTCAAATCGCTAGGCTTAACTTCTTGAAAATTTAAAGGCAAGTATGTATAAAACAGAGGTTTTACAGTTTACTTTTGTACCTCTCCTTTATAATGAACAAAGATGAATAGCACCACCAAAACACATTTTTGGTCAAAAGTTAAAACCCTGAAGTCTTCTTTATTTTTGTTTATATGGCAAACTGGGTCTGTAGTCAAGATTATGAATTATTTGGTAACACATCGAGGACTAACACAATTTGTTTTAGTAACACACCAAACACGATAATTAAGATGTTGTTGTCATCAAACCAAGTTGGATAATTAGAATGTTGTTGTTATCAAACCAAATTTGGTAATTAAGATATTCTTGTTGTTTTGGCGAATTTCACTCAAAGCAACTCGAGGACTATTTGCGATATTCGTTGCTAATTTTGAAGTGCTCGGCTAAAAGGAAGACAGCTAGTTACCACCATTCACCGCCAACTGGTAGGTTCCTCTAATCGAATTATGGGATTCACTCTTCACTCGTCACCACGGAGCCTCGGATCCACAGTTCGATACACCAACCACTGGGTCGCGTTCGACACAAATAATTAAAATAATAGTTATTTTCAATATATAAAGAAATGTAACTCTGAACGATGATGACTAGACTCTGGTGTTTATATTTATCTCTCTTTTTTTAATATTTCACAGGATCTTAACTGAAACAAGATTAATTGAGTATACATTGTTCATATCAATCTTGCACATACAATTACGACTGTCCAACCCAAGTATGATGGCACTGCAGAAAGAAATGAGAGTGACAAAAATAAAAAAGAAATGTTTGGTTGTTTGGCGTATATTGGCGCAAAGCAACTAGGCTATCTGCGCCGAAAAAGAAAAATATAATAAAACTTGGCTATAACTTATTCGACAGAAAATACTTTGATCATATATTTTTAAAACATCATTTTGATATTTTCCTTTCCATCGGCATGCGTAGATTCGATTTTTCCTTACGTCTCGTCAGTCGCGTCTTGGCTAAAAAATGGAGAAAATAATCGTAAGCATCAAAGCTGATCTGATATTTATTTTGAAACTAATCAAATGTAATTGTATTTTAAGAATTAGATTAATGTACAGTATTTACCATGCTTAGGTGATAATAACTTATATAACTCAAACCGTAACTTACAGAAATTTGTCAATGCTTTTCAGAAGTTGGTATAATGAGAAATACTATGAATCGGGCTTTGTAATAGTTAACCTTTGATTAAATTTAGAGCCCAATAAAGTGTAACCTACATCAAATAAGTATTTTAACAATACTCAGTTCCAATTCGAAGCCTTATAATAAATACATAATATATTTATGACATGAGCTTCATTTATTCATATACAGAAATTTCCGTATTAATACTTCAAATTAAGTTTGTTAGAAATATCTAGCCGGCATCTCTTTTATTTTTATGTTTTACTGTAATAAGAAGGTTTCAAACTACCATCTAACACATTCTGTACTGCAATAAGAAGGTTTCAAACTACCACATCTAACACATTCTGCACTGTAATAAGAAGGTTTCAAACTACCATCTAACACATTCTGTACTGCAATAAGAAGGTTTCAAACTACCATCTAATACATTCTGTTGCAGTTTGAAATATATTATTACTTCTTCTTTTATCCCCCAGTGGTAAGTCTTCGGATTTACATAGGATCCAGGTATAGTCAGCACAAACAGATTACGAGCTTGAAGGTAAGAAATTATTATCAACTTTCAAATAAAGCTCCTTCGCTTATCTTCCATAGATTTACTTTCATTTATCTTTTAAAAAAACCTTCTTTTCCCAAATTCATCCGTCTACAACCCTTTTAACTTCTCACTTTCAGAATCCTGGAATCGCCATTACATGTATTTTTTACGTACTTCTTTGCGCCCCTGCGAACATTTGTAGTCCTTTACTTTAAAGAATAACGAATTATTAAATACTGGTCAAATTAATCAAAATTAAGAAGCCCTCCCCAGTGGCACAGCGTATTGTCTCGATACCCGTGGTGGGCAGAGCACAGATAGTTCATTGTGTAGCTTTGTGCTTAACTACATACAAACAAAAAATATTAAATGTTAGGAGTTTCTTGTTTGCTTGTTTTTTCTGTAAATATGCTTCAGTGCTAATTTTGAATCATTCCACTCAGCTAAGAAATAAAAATGTGTTCGAAAGTCTTGTTTTTCATTTATAATAATTAAAGATTTGTTGCTTTTCGTTTGGGAATACGACGTCTGAAAAAGATATATTACTGTAAAAACAAACACATCATTATCCTTCCATAACATAAAAGTTGCAGACAGGTGGGGTTTTACATAATTAAAGTATTGGAAAACCCGGAGATAAGTTGCAGAGAGGTGGAGCTCTACATAATTAAAGGATGGGCTGTAAAGTATTGGAAAAGCCGGGCGAGAAGTTGCAGCCAGGTGGAGCTCTACATAATTAAAGGATGGGCTGTAAAGTATTGGAAAAGCCGGGCGAGAAGTTGCAGCCAGGTGGAGCTCTACATAATTAAAGGATGGGCTGTAAAGTATTGGAAAAGCCGGGCGAGAAGTTGCAGACAGGTGGAGCTCTACATAATTAAAGGATGGGCTGTAAAGTATTGGAAAATCTCGAAGGAATAATTTCAACGAGATGCCACTTATTACTGAGTATTTTTTAGGACGAGTATACTTCAACGAGTTTTATACAATCCTCCCATTTTCAGTTAAATAAACTATGAATAATCATCAATAAATGCATATGTTTTTTATGACTGAAAAGACTGATCATGTATTCTTCGAGGACACTTACACAATAGTCTGCTTAGAAGGATAAAGATAAAGGCCAATTCTCGAGAGACAGCTGCCGCATTATCGCCTGTTAAATAACTGGCCTAAAACCGTATAGAAAAAGTCTTCAGGTTTCGAGAAATGGTAAGAAGGAAACGTTTGTACAAAGTATATGTCTCTCCAAATATGAAATTATAGTAGAACGTAACATATAAACCCCATTACAGATTATGCAAGAGATAATACAAATCTCAACAAGATATGATAGAAAATATGTAAATCTTGATAGATCCCAAATAAAAAGAATAAAAACCCACAAAATATTAAAGAAAGAAGGAACAAAGTCTCACTAGATGTGATAAAAAGAAGAAATATACAAGTCCCATCAAAAATGAAAGATCCTATAGACCCCACTAGAAATTACAAAAAGGTTCATACAGATCTATTAGAATGGATAGAAAGTCATATTAACTCTATCAGATGTGATAGAAAGAATTACAAGACCCATTAGATCTGACAAAAAAGAACCACATAAGCTCCTGTCAAAATAAAAAAATGATTCTATAAACCCCACCAGAAGAAGTAGAAGGTATCGTATAAACTCAATTAGATCTGGTAGAAAGAATCGTATAAGCCCATCATGAAATATAGAATGATTACAAAACCCCCACCAGATGACGCAAAGATAGGATCGTATAAACCTTACTAGATGTGATACAGATGAACGTACAGACGCTATTAAATTTAAAAGAAAAGTTATTTAAATCTCACCGAATCTCAAACATAATTTCATACTAGCTCTCCAATATTAGAACAAATCTTATAAGCTCCATTACTTCTAATAGAAACAAAATGTAATTATCAGCGCAAAGTTTTATTAAAAACGATAACATAAAACTCTTACACTGATAGAAATAGCATAAGACTACTGTTTCTGATAAAAAAAAAAGTCATATAAATTTCACTAGCGTCAAAGATAAGATAAAGAAACACCAGTAGCTCTGATAATAATTGTCACGTGCATGTAAAAAATCCCTTATTTCATTTAAATAAAAATTAAATTTTCTTCAAAATAAACATTAAACTGGAAACCTGAAAGACAGTTTTAGTATAGATTAACATCCTGTATAGAGACCCCCCCAGTGGCAGAGCGGTATGTCTGCGGACTTACAACGCTAGAATCCAGGTTTCGATACCTGTGGTGGGCAGAGCACAGATAGCCCATTGTGTAGCTTTGTGCTTAATTACAAACAAATCCTGTATAGATTGTGTAGACTAAACAAAATAAGATTGTATTACAAATATTATTAGTAAATACGCTAGAAATAAGTGTTTTTACACAATGGTTTTCTTACTTGAATTTGAAATGAAACTCTCGACTTATCTTCCGCAGTTTTCTACCTGCTGCTTTTAAACTTTCAGTTGAAGCTCTTCTAGCTTTTTCTCTAGCAACGGCTGAATTATCCTGACAAGACTTATCCAGGTCTGTGGAATTTGTTGTAGCAGCACATTCAGATAAAGAATGTCTGTGATTACTTTCAGCTTTCTCATTCCCGTCAACTAAAACAGTGTAAAACATCTCAAAAATTGATTTCAATATATAAGAAAAGTTGAATACTTGAAAAATTATAATAATGCGCGCATGTTGCTTTTTTGTTTGTTTGTTTGTTTAACAATCAAATATTTTAACTTTTGGTGATACGTAATTTTATCAACTTTTTTTGTCTGTTGAATCACAAGTAATGAGAGACTTTTTTCTCGTGCATTTATTAAAACATACATACATAAATATTATTCACAACACATGTCCGCTCTAAATACAGATAACTTCATCTGTTTACTATCTGCCAGTAGAAACTGTTAAGCAACAGTTACATATAGTCTGTTGATCGACTGTCGTGTAGATCTAACAGTGGAAATATATTAATATGTTGGTTGAACGTTCCATCAATCTCAGAGTGTGAAATATATCAAACCATTGAAAGTGTTAAGGAACTGTTACATGCAGTATGTTGGTTGAATGACGCGCATATCTGGCAGTATAAATATGCCAAAACTTTGAAAGTGTTTTATAACAGTCACATGTAGTCTGTTGGCTGAATTTCGCATAGAAAATATATTTCCACACTTAGACAACTTTAAAAATGTTAAATACCAGTTACATGTAATATGTTGGTTGAATGTCCCAGTAAAAATATATCAAGACCTAGAAAGTGTTAAGTAAAAGTTACCATGTGTGTGTACTAAATGTTGCGTTGAATGGAAGAATATGAAATTTATTTTATTTTATTATGACTTCAACTATTATTATGTTAACCCAACAAGTTTCTTTATCAACTACATTCTATGAAATATCACTTGTTCAGAAAGCGGTCAGGTTTACATCGTGGTAACTGGTCGAGATATGTTCTAGAACACAACAACATAGTAGAATGTGATAATAAAGATTAAAATGCTTTATCTAAACACGGTTTCCCAACTCGCAGTGACGTTATAATTATAGATGTACTAAACAATATAGTTTTATTATTATTGGCTAAACTTTGGTCAACAATAAAGACAGACTAAGAGAGGCAACTGAAAGAATTATTTAGTAATGTAGCAATGCTGAATTTTCTATTTTGTTGTGATTAAGTATTTGTTCATTTATTTCTTTACATATTTTTAAGTCGTAAGCATATAGTCGCACATTAATATCAATATTTCAACTTCCTTCTTCATCACTGTGATCTAAGTAACAAACAGTTTCCATGTGTTATAAAATAAGCCTAATAATTTGTGAAAATTATTCAAAAAAAAATCACATTGTTTACTAACAGACATCAGCGAAACTATGTTAAAATAAATAATTTAATAGGTGGGATGATCTAACAGCAAGACACAAAGAGCGGTATACACTGAAAACCTATATATCAACTCAGTTTGTACCTTCGCGTTTATATATTTATAGCTAACTCCTCCCACAGTGCTGTAACTAGCAGGATCAAACTTGGCAGGTGGACTAGAGGTAGTTCAAGAGATACCAAGATGGGTTAAAACGCCCCCCCCCCCCCACACACACACACCGAAAGATCATCCACGCATGGTAGGAGTATAATTATGAGTACGTTTTCAGCCACACTGAACATGAATTTGCCATTGAAATTTGCGTTCCTGCCTCCAACTTGGGATCCCAGGGGTGCCATGTTTAAATTTTTACCATACCCTCTACTCACAAGCTTGTATGACCATACTTGACACACGTGCTCAGGTATCACGGGGGGGGGGGGGGAGGAACCCATAAAAATAAAAGCAAAACTTTGGGACAGCCAAGGGAACGGGCTTGGAAAAAACAGCGCTGATTTTTCCAAGCCCGTTCCCTTGGCTGTGGTTTCGCTAGATAATAGATAGGGACAGTGGGAATCTCGTTAAACCATTCATGCGCGTCACTAATTAGATGACGAGACATTTAGCTACCTTAATATGGCACCTAACGAAGTTTTCTTTTTGAAATATATGTAGATATATATATATTCATACATATTTTCGATTATGGGAGAGCAGCTCTGAATATTCTTCGGACGATATGTCAAAACTGATTTGTACCACTCTATTTCTTCTTATGTAGCTCTTTGTTATAACTGATCTTTGAAAAATCTCTTCAGACAAGTTTGATACAGTTTTGAGAAAAACTTTTAGCTTTAAAGAAATCTGACATTTATTCAACTTTCTGGGCAAAGTCGATCTCAGAAATACATAAACGACGAACACCCTTAAACTGTGATTTGCGAATGACACTTTTAGTACAATCTTAGTTTGTAAGTAATAATATCATTGTTTGTTGAGTTTCGTGCAAAGTTACTCCAGGGCTAGCCGCCCCAATTTAGAAGTGATAGAGTAGAGAGAATGAAGCATGCCTCACATTAAATAAAAAACTTTTGTTGGAAAAATGTATATATATATACTAATATTTTTAATAAGTCTCACACTTGTTAAAGTAGAAATATTAACAAGTATAAAGTTCTGACAGATATATTTTATACATATTTTTATTGTATTTTGATTTTATTTCAAAAGTGCAACATCATAATATTTGGGAGTTATTTAAACACTTATTAAATCAGCTATTTCTCTGACTTCGTCTAGTTTTTCAAGTGCGGGTGAAAAGTATAATACGCTTGTGCAAACAGGACAACAAGTTGATAAAAACTTGTATGATTTGTCACTTCAATACATATATATAATATTTTGCTTTCTCATTATGAAGAACGACTGAACACTAGTAAATTTTCAGTTTAAATTAAAATATACATAACCCAAATTAAAAATTACCTAATTAAACATGTAGGTAGTTACTTTGATATATAACATTTTATCTTATTTTGTTTACGAGGTTTAATTTTAAAGAGTAGTTAAAAAACTGAAATAAGCTGAGTTACAGGTAAGTGTGATCTACAATACAAAGAACGCAGAGAGCATGCATCTTATAATGAATATACAGGTTTGTCAGTTGGTTAACCATATTTTCAGCGATGTTTTCGGCCTTAATCTTAATGACCTTACTACGTTGATAAATTTCAGTTAACCTACAATAATAGATTGAGAACTATACAAATTACAGATTTTAATAGAATTGAAAAGTTATAAGCATTTGCATGAATTTTAAGTATAATTTTAACATGTATAAATCGGTATATAATTTAATCAATTTAACTAAAATAATATATTTTAAAAAATGTGTATTATTTAATTGTTACCGTCAAACAACTATTTTTTATATTTTAAAATACATAAAAAACTTGTGACAGAGTTTATTTTCAACACTAAGATCTGTCTAGCTACTAATACCCATTCAAACATTTATAGCCTTATGATAATTCCCAAATTATACTGCCCTTAGTGCATATCTATATTAAAGGACCTGAAAACACATTTAGAAATTGAGATATGGTTAATAATTTCACTTATGTTTGACACTACGTAGGATTTAAGAAAAACAAAATCAAAGAACACTTACAGTTAAGAATACGTAATAAATATCAATCTTACTATAATATTCATCGCAGTGATCGTATAACCAATCAATTTCTGCTTTTGTAAGAATAGTTGTAGCAGTTGCTGATGTTTGAGTATCACAAGGTGTACGACTTTCACGAGATGATAAAACGAAGTCATCACTTAATGAAGATTGGGGAACGTCCTCACTGGGACGAGCTTCATCAGGATGCGATATTTCTTTTTCCATTTTCAAAACTCAAATGACCTAAAAACAACCGAAGAGACGTATTTTTCTATTTTTTCTTATAAAACAAAAATTATCTTAGCATGTTACCCACTATTCTTAACACAGGATATATTCTGAACTATAATCGCTATGATACGGTTGAATTTTGTAATTTGAACATAAAAAATATATACTACCAGTTTTGCAAATATTGTAAATTAATTTAACAAATGTTAAAGGGTCCTAAAAAAGATCAAAGCTGGTAAACTGCATGTAAAACTTATAGTCAATGAAATATTTCGGAAAAAATATCACTCTAGTCATCTTATTAAAATGTATTTATTTAGAATAATCAAAGTTGACTTAAAAGTTTGACCCCGACACAAAGGCATTTGTTTCTCACAATAAACAAGCACGTAAAAAATTGTGTTAATTAAAGGCAACAGGAGCAAACCCAAATGATTTAAAAACTGAGGTCGGCTGTGACTTAATACTATTGTTATAAAAACAAGTTAATTGCAGATAGATCTGAAATGTGTTGTTTTTTTGTTTTTTTCTATACAGATTTTTGATTTCAGGCCGTAATGGACAAATTAAGAAGAATCAGCAGTTAACTTGTTTATCTAACCATTTTCAGGCCTATTGGTTTCCCAGTATTTCACCAGCTTTCGTCGAGTAAACCGTAACTTATTATAATTCGTTATTGGTTTAATTAAGAGGAAGTAAAAAAACGTCTGCAGTTAACTTGTTTATATACCGTATTTTTCGGTGTATAATACGCACTTTTTTACCCCAAAATTTGATGTCAAAATCTGCTTGCATCCTATACACCGAAGGTATGAATAATATACAGTATATATATATGTATGTATATATACGATATACACACAAGCCATGTGTAAATATATTTAAATAGGATGCATAGTTTAGTTCAAT